TAAACTCATCCAATGAGTGTGCTGTTCCAATTGTCAGACAAGTTGTTTGTTCATCCAGTGATTGTGGTGTTGTTGGCAGACATGTTGTTTGTTCATCCAGTGATTGTGGTGTTGTTGGCAGACATGTTGTTTGTTCATCCAGTGATTGTGGTGTTCCTATTGTCAAAGTGTTTGTTCATCCAGTGATTGTGGTGTTGTTGGCAGACATGTTGTTTGTTTATCCAGTGATTGTGGTGTTCCTATTGTCAAAGTGTTTGTTCATCCAGTGATTGTGGTGTTGTTGGCAGACATGTTGTTTGTTCATCCAGTGATTGTGCTGTTGCTATTGTAAGACAAGTTGTTTGTTCATCCAGTGATTGTGCTGTTGCTATTGTAAGACAAGTTGTTTGTTCATCCAGTGATTGTGCTGTTGCTGTTGTAAGACAAGTTGTTTGTTCATCCAGTGATTGTGCTGTTGCTATTGTAAGACAAGTTGTTTGTTCATCCAGTGATTGTGCTGTTGCTGTTGTCAGACAAGTTGTTTGTTCATCCAGTGATTGTGGTGTTGTTGTCAGACAAGTTGTTTGTTCATCCAGTGATTGTGCTGTTGCTATTGTAAGACAAGTTGTTTGTTCATCCAGTGATTGTGCTGTTGCTGTTGTCAGACAAGTTGTTTGTTCATCCAGTGATTGTGCTGTTGTTGTCAGACAAGTTGTTAATCATCTAGTGATTGTGGTGTTGCTGTTGTCAGACAAGTTGTTTATCATCCAGTGATTGTGGTGTTGCTGTTGTCAGACAAGTTGTTTGTTCATCCAGTGATTTTGGTGTTGTTGCTGCCAGACAAGTTGTTTGTTTATCCAGTGATTGTGGTGTTGTTGTTTTCAGACAAGTTGTTTGTTCATCCAGTGTTTGTGGTGTTGCTGTTGTCAGACAAGTTGTTTGTTCATCCAGTGATTGTGGTGTTGCGGTTGTCAGACAAGTTGTTTGTTCATCCAGTGATTGTGGTGTTGTTGTCTGACAAGTTGTTTGTTTATCAAGTGATTGTGGTGTTGTTGTCTGACAAGTTGTTTGTTTATCCAGTGATTGTGGTGTTGTTGTCTGACAAGTTGTTTGTTCATCCAGTGATTGTGGTGTTGCTGTTGTCAGACAAGTTGTTTGTTCATCCAGTGATTGTGGTTTTGTTGTCTGACAAGTTGTTTGTTTATCCAGTGATTGTGCTGTTGTTGTTGTCAGACAAGTTGTTTGTTCATCCAGTGATTGTAGTGTTGCTGTTGTCAGACAAGTTGTTTGTTCATCCAGTGATTGTGGTGTTGCTGTTGTCAGACAAGTTGTTAATCATCCAGTGATTGTGGTGTTGCTGTTCTCAGACAAGTTGTTTGTTCATCCAGTGATTGTGGTGTTGCTGTTGTCAGACAAGTTGTTAATCATCCGGTGATTGTGGTGTTGCTGTTGTCAGACAAGTTGTTTGTTCATCCAGTGATTGTGCTGTTGCTGTTGTCAGACAAGTTGTTTGTTCATCCAGTGATTGCGGTGTTCCTATTGCCAGACAAGTTGTTTGTTCATCCAGTGATTGTGCTGTTGCTGTTGTCAGACAAGTTGTTTGTTCATCTAGTGATTGTGGTGTTGTTGTTGTCAGACAAGTTGTTTGTTCATCCAGTGATTGTGGTGTTGCTGTTGTCAGACAAGTTGTTTGTTCATCTAGTGATTGTGGTGTTGTTGTTGTCAGACAAGTTGTTTGTTCATCTAGTGATTGTGGTGTTGCTGTCAGACAAGTTGTTTGTTTATCCAGTGATTGTGGTGTTGTTGTTTTCAGACAAGTTGTTTGTTCATCCAGTGATTGTGGTGTTGTTGTTGTCAGACAAGTTGTTAGTCATCTAGTCATTGTGGTGTTGCTTTTGTCAGACAAGTTGTTAATCATCCAGTGATTGTGGTGTTACTGTTATCATACATTTAGTTAACTCATCCAGTGATTGTGGTGTTGCTGTTGTCAGACAAGTTGTTTGTTCATCCAGTGATTGTGGTGTTGCTGTTGTCAGACAAGTTGTTTGTTCATCTAGTAATTGTGGTGTTGTTGTTGTCAGACAAGTTGTTTGTTCATCTAGTGATTGTGGTGTTGCTGTCAGACAAGTTGATTGTTTATCCAGTGATTGTGGTGTTGTTGTTTTCAGGCAAGTTGTTTGTTCATCCAGTGATTGTGGTGTTACTGTTGTCAGACAAGTTGTTAATCATCTAGTGATTGTGGTGTTGCTTTTGTCAGACAAGTTGTTAATCATCCAGTGATTGTGGTGTTGCTGTCAGACAAGTTGTTAATCATCCAGTGATTGTGGTGTTGTTGTTTTCAGACAAGTTGTTTGTTCATCCAGTGATTGTGGTGTTGCTGTTGTCAGACAAGTTGTTTGTTCATCCAGTGATTTTGGTGTTGCTGTTGTCAGACAAGTTGTTTGTTCATCCAGTGATTGTGGTGTTGTTGTTGTCAGACAAGTTGTTTGTTCATCTAGTGATTGTGGTGTTGTTGTTGTCAGACAAGTTGTTTGTTCATCTAGTGATTGTGGTGTTGCTGTCAGACAAGTTGATTGTTTATCCAGTGATTGTGGTGTTGTTGTTTTCAGACAAGTTGTTTGTTCATCCAGTGATTGTGGTGTTGCTGTTGTCAGACAAGTTGTTAATCATATAGTGATTGTGGTGTTGCTTTTGTCAGACAAGTTGTTAATCATCCAGTGATTGTGGTGTTGCTGTTATCATACATCTAGTTAACTCATCCAGTGATTGTGGTGTTGCTGTTGTCAGACAAGTTGTTAATCATCCAGTGATTGTGGTGTTGCTGTTGTCAGACAAGTTGTTAATCATCCAGTGTTTGTGGTGTTGCTGTTGTCAGACAAGTTGTTAATCATCCAGTGATTGTGGTGTTGCTGTTGTCAGACAAGTTGTTAATCATCCAGTGATTGTGGTGTTGCTGTTGTCAGACAAGTTGTTAGTCATCCAGTGATTGTGGTGTTGCTGTTGTCAGACAAGTTGTTAATCATCCAGTGATTGTGTTGTTGCTGTTGTCAGATAAGTTGTTAATCATCCAGTGATTGTGGTGTTACTGTTATCATACATCTAGTTAACTCATCCAGTGATTGTGGTGTTGCTGTTGTCAGACCTTGGAGGAGAAACTGGTGAAGATTCAGAAGGAGCGTAGCCTTGACATTCTGGAACTGGCCAAGGTCAAGGCCCAGATTAATGACAAGGACAGGCAGATAGAGCTTGAGGTCAAGGTCAGTGTTCTTAGTCATCAGTTATTTTGACATTCGACAGAAATCTTTGCTTACAGGTAAATATTAATAACATAATAGTCCCTGATGTATTTGTCAGTTCCTATGTGTCATGTGTTACAGAAAGTGGAGAAGTTCCGTGGGGTGTGTAAGGAACTGGAGGAACAGATGAAGGACCTGGAGGCTCTTGTGGCAGAGTACGAGAAGCGGGAAGCTGAGTGGAATAAGATCAGGTAAAAAAATAGGTTTTTAAATATGTTTTTATCTCATTTCAAAGAAAGGGCTTGTAGTTCGGTAGAACAGTTCAGCTGTACTCAATTTCTACAAATGAATAATGGAAGACGTTTTTCTTGTTCATTTTATTGGCATTGCAGTAAAATAGTTAAATGGTGTGTGTTGTACAGGAAGACGTATGAACAGGTGGTGGATGAACGAGAGGAGGAACTTGAGGGAACCAGTCAGAGGTTGTCAGCCATAGAGCATGCCAGGTAGGTGATATGTCTGTTACATAGCAGGCCAGGTATGGGATAAGTCTGTCATTGAGCAGGCCAGGTAGGGGATAAGTCTGTCATAGAGAAGGCCAGGTTGGGATAAGTCTGTCATAGAGCAGGCCAGGTAGGGGAATAATCTGTCATAGAAAAGGCCAGGTTCGGGATAAGTCTGTCATTGAGCAGGCCAGGTAGGGGATAATTTTGTTATAGAGAAGGCCAGGTTCGGGATAAGTCTGTCATAGAGCAGGCCAGGTAGGGGATAAGTCTGTCATAGAGAAGGCCAGGTTGGGGATAAGTCTGTCATTGAGCAGGCCAGGTAAGGGATAATTCTGTTATAGAGAAGGCCAGGTTCGGGATAAGTCTGTCATTGAGCAGGCCAGGTAAAGGATAATTCTGTTATAGAGAAGGCCAGGTTGGGATAAGTCTGTCATTGAGCAGGCCAGGTAGGGGATAATTCTGTTATAGAGAAGGCCAGGTTGGGATAAGTCTGTCATAGAGCAGGCCAGGTAGGGGAATAATCTGTCATAGAAAAGGCCAGGTTTGGGATAAGTCTGTCATGGAGAAAGCCAAGTTTGGGATAAGTCTGTCATAGAGAAAGCCAGGATTGGGATAAGTCTGTCATAGAGAAAGCCAGGTTTGGGATAAGTCTGTCATAGAGAAGGCCAGGTTCGGGATAAGTCTGTCATAGAGAAGGCCAGGTTTGGGATAAGTCTGTCATAGAGAAGGCCAGGTTAGGGATAAGTCTGTCATAGAAGGCCAGGTTTGGGATAAGTCTGTCATAGAGAGGCCAGGTTTGGGATAAGTCTGTCATAGAAGGCCAGGTTTGGGATAAGTCTGTCATAGAGAAGGCCAGGTTTGGGATAAGTCTGTCATAGAGAAGGCCAGGTTTGGGATAAGTCTGTCATAGAGAAGGCCAGGTTTGGGATAAGTCTGTCATAGAGAAGGCCAGGTTTGGGATAAGTCTGTCATAGAGAAGGCCAGGTTCGGGATAAGTCTGTTATAGAGAAGGCCAGGTTTGGGATAAGTCTGTCATAGAGAAGGCCAGGTTGGGATAAGTCTGTCATAGAGAAGGCCAGGTTTGGGATAAGTCTGTCATAGAGAAGGCCATGTTCGGGATAAGTCTGTCATAGAGAAGGCCAGGTTCGGGATAAGTCTGTCATAGAGAAGGCCAGGTAGGAGGTGAATCAGTGATGGAGAAGTCTAGTTAGTGGATATTAAAAGCAGGTTTGATTATTCAGTTTCTGTGTCAAAGTTTGAGTTTCCTTGGAAAATACATGTACCTATGTTTGTGAAGAAACCAACGAGATATTTTTCGTACAATATTCCCAGATCTTCCAATGACCAGCGTCTGACAAGCCTGAAGCAGCAGCTGAAGTCCGCCAAGGCTGCCCACAAGAGTGAAGTAGAGGCATTAAACCACAAATTGTGGGAAGAGAGAGCCAAGGGACAGAAGTTCAACAACAAGGTGAGTCTGGGAATCATGTAGCAGCCACTGGATGACAGATTTGCTTGTATCCACTGGGGTGAAGAAACAGGTCCAGGTTTTATGATGAATGAAAGAGACTGTTTTATGATTCAGATGTCTGATCTGAAAGAAAAGTGTGAGAAGAGCGAGCAGATCCTGAGTCACCAGAAGCATATCCTGGATGCCCAGGACACTGACAAGATCAAGCTGAAGGAGGAGGTATGACAACAGACTGAACATGGATGTGCAGCAATTGTTTGAGCAGAGTTTCAGTTCTTACATGTGCCAGGATCTGCTGATTAAACCCAACTTATTGTCTATTACATGTACTTCACTAAAGTCCCTTTGGGATTTTCTCCCACATTTAGCTAATCCTCAAATATCTCAATCAGATATCGACCCCCACAAACATCTGGGTTCGAATTGATTTTCAGCAACCAGTGCTTGTTGTAGGATGTGAGTAACAGTATAGGGTGGGGGTGTTCAGTGTATGTTGTCATATCCAATCATAGATCAGTGTCAGTGATGTTACGTAACAGTTATCTGGTCCAGTTATCAAGGACAACCTTCATACAGCTGAGGACCACCTCCGTGGTGTAGTGGTTAGAGTGTCCGCCCGGAGAGCGGAAGGTCGCGGGTTCGATCCCCGGCCGCGTCATACCAAAAGACGTTAAAATATGGTACTTGTTGGTCCCTGCCTGGCGCTCAGCATTAATGGGTACAACAAGGACTGGTCGGCTCGGAGTCAGTATAATGTGTCTGAGTGGGGTATTCATGCTTCACTGCGGCATGGTATCTCAGTGGGCTAGCACAAAAAACCAGCTTAAGTCTGGGCTAGTACAAGCAGCTGCACATACACATACACACGCATGCACGTCGTCATATGAGCGAAATATTCTCAAGCACGACGTTAAACCCAATTTCACCTCACCTCACCTCACCTCATACAGCTGAACACATTGTTGAACAATTTTGTGCTACTGTGTGTTCAGATCTCCAAGATCCTGACGGAGAACCAGGAACTTAGAGGGAACAACCTGAAGCTGAGGAAGAACCTCGATGAAGCCATGGACAAGTTCGAGCTCATCTTCGGGGAGAAGATTGATCTCGAGAACTTTACTGAAGCCATGCAGGTAGCCCTAAAAACCTTTTCTTTTCTTGTGATGTCCTTTAACATAAGGCTTCATGAAGTGAATATTGAGTGATCATTTATCCTTTCCATTAATCATTGCCCTTAATAACAAATGTGGTCAAACTCTACGAGAGATATCTTTGTTTGCCAGGGCCTCCACTTCTTGGAGAAATACAAGTTTGAGAGTACCATCGGCCAGCAGATGAAACTGATAGACTATCTACAGGAACTGTGGCATGATAGTATGTCCAAGAAGAAGAAGGTACGTCCAGCACAATGGATGGTTTTATGTGGGCCATTCAACCTTTCTGAGAATCACCACATCTGTACTGCAGGCCCAGACACCATGTCATCTAAGGCTATGCCATCACTGGTTCAAATCCTGGTTGCCCTTCAGTGTTTCTGACTTTGTCAGCTCAGGCCTGACCCATGCCTGTGGTTCACCAAAGTGTTAAACATTTAGATCTGCGTTACATTAGGCTGTTCCCCAAAATCAAGATGTCAGGCACAATTTGACTGAAATATCCCATCATATATGTTGTAAAACACAAATGACTCGCTGATTCTATTGGGCACCAAGAACCAGTCACAGCATCGTCTCATGATGGAGGTAGCAGGTCAGGATTAACCGTGATTCAGTAATTCAGTCATTATACTGTTGTTGATTCATGAACAGGTGCTTGCTTAAACCAAAACATTTGCCCATATTAACACAGAGGAGTGGTGTTTTGTGTCTTACTGAGTGTCAAGGCTTTAGCTAACTATTAAATAAGATTAACTGTGATACAGTGGCTCATTTTGACTAATGTTACTATAATGTCAATACAGTAATAAATACTAGTTGTTACTTGTTACTGCTCGTTACTTTCAGCCTGAACTAAGTGTAAAAACATATTCTACTTTGGGTAGCCTGATGGTTAAAAGCGTTAATTGGCTCGTCTTAACAAAACGCACCAAGACCGGGTTCGATTCCCCATGGGACCCAATAAATGAAGCTCATTTCTGGTGTCCCAGCAAAAATCCGGGATATTGCTGGAATATTGCTAAAAGCGGTGTAAAACAAAACTCACTCACTCACTACTTTCAGCCTGGCAAGATTTTTGGCAGCATGAGAGGCAAGGACGCACCGACTGTTGTTCCACAGTGGAAGGAGTTTCAGGCCAGTCTGGAGTCGGAGAGAAAGAAGAACTGTAAACTCCAGGAGCAGCTGGACCGACTACGCCAGGAGAACTACCAGCTGTCCAATGACTGTAAGTAGGACTCCGGCTCTTGTACAGAGTAGGACAGTGTTGTAGGCCAACTGACAAGATTGGACTTTCTACTCCAGTTGGTGACAGGAGGCACTAGAGGACAAACTGGCCATTGTGAAACTCAGTTAAATGGTTTAGATAAGTGTATGTTGTCACAACTCATTGTGATTACACACTAGCTACAGATAGAATGGAAGTCATACAAAGGTGATCTTTTTGGTGGAATTTTGGACTTGGCTCACAGTTGGGGCGGTGGGGTAGCCTAGTGGTTAAAGCGTTGGCTCGTCACGCCGAAGACCCGGGTTCGAATCCCCACATGGGTACAATGTGTGAAGCCCATTTCTGGTGTCCCCCCCGCCATGATGTTCCTGGAATATTGCTAAAAGCGGCGTAAAACCAAACTCAGTCAGTCAGTTGCTCACAGTTTGTCAGAAATATATGAGTCTGTTTCATTTTAATTTTGGTGGAAAACATCGCAAATATATGAAAGTTCTAAATTTGGTTTATACTGTTTTGTATTATCCTTTGTGAGTGTTGCATAAGGATTCAAGGACCAAGTGAAGATCTAGGTTAGAATTGGTCTTCAGCTACCCATGCTTGTCATAAGATGCAGATAACATGATCGGGTGGTCAGGCTCACTGACTTGGTTGACACATCATCGTATCCCGATTGTGTACATCGATGCTCAAGCTGTTGATCAATGGATTATTTATTTATAGCTGGAATATTGTTGAGTGTTGGGTTAAACAACAAACTGTAAAGATTGTTTTTTTTGCTGTAGTACTGAAGCTGAAGGGTCCCCTCCGTGAAAAACTCATCTTGGATGGTACCAGTACTCTCACCCCCAAGGTGAAGGCCGCTGTAGCCGCCCTTGCACAATCTCCGTCCAGTCAGCCCGACCCTGGTACACTGATGCCAGACGTTGCCTCCTACGTCGTAGGAACCCCATCAGCACCACAGCCTAAACAGCAACGCATGCATCACAACATCCCACACCGGTTTGTCACCGGCCTCAACACCCGGGCCACGAAATGTGCTGTGTGCCTTGGCAGTGTCCACTTCGACAAACAGGCCGCAAAATGTCAAGGTAAGCGAGAAACGCATGTAGAGTCAAATTCTTTAGATACTTGAGATACAGAGTGAGTGCGGAATGCAGAACAGTCAGACATAGTTGTGCTGTTTTGGTGTTCATATATTATCTCATACCCTTGAAGATCCGGGTTAGAATTAGTCTTCAGCAATGCATGCTTTTCGTAAGAGGCAACTAACGAGATTGGGTGGTCAGACTTGCTGACTTAGTTGACACATGTCATTGTATCCCAATTGCGTTGATCGATGTTCATGCTGTTGATCACTGGATTGTCTGGTCCAGACTTGATTATTTACAGACTGCCACCATACAGCTGTAATATTGCTGAGTGCAGTGTTAAACAACAAACAAACAAGCATATTAGCTCAGACCTCAGCCGGGTGGTTAAGGCATTAGCTCATTATGCTGTAGATGGGGTTTGTTACCACAACACAAGAAATAAGAGGTCAGACTCGCTGATTTGGTTGACACAAGTCATCAGTTTTCAATTGTGTAGATCGATGCTCATGCTGTTCATCACTGGATTGTCTAGTCCAGACTTGATTATTTACAGACTGCTGCCATATAGCTGGGATATTGCAGCATAAAACTACACTCACTCAAAAGAAATAAGTTCTCATATTTTTTCTGTTATGATTAACAGTTTGTAAATGTCATTTGTAATAACCTATATGGTTATGGTCGGTTGTTTTAAATTATGTAAAATTCTGTTTATCAGTACCAAAATATATTAAGGACACTCATATTCTTTATCATTTTCAGAATGTCATATAGTGTGCCACCCCCCGATGTGTGACGTCGGTCCCAGCGTCATGTGGCCTGCCCACAGAGTATGTGAGTCACTACACAGGGATGATGGCGCGAGTCAACACCGAGCAGCCTCTGTACTACGGGGAGGAGGAGGAGGAGAAGGATCTGAGCAGCGCCATACGCATGGAGGGATGGCTGAAAGTGCCGCGGTATGTTGAAAGTCACTCTTAAGGGATGGGGAATGCATACTTTTTCGCACATTTATGAGTCATTGTCAATATTTAAAGTATCGAATGTGCACTGCTTATGAATTCAGATGGCAAATGTCCTGATTAAACTAAGCATCAGGGAAGGTGATCTGACATTGTGTTAAATATAACGATTCTTTAGAGTTACTAGCTTCTTTGTAGTAAAAGTAACGTTCCGTGTTACCACTCTTTCCTAAAAGACGAGTGGACTGTGGAATGCACGTATTCAGTGAAGCGTACCCCCTTCATGAATTCAATGCATTATGCATTATGCATGGTCACAACAATTGAATATTGTCTACTTGGAACTAGTTTGTTGTTTGTCTAAGTGAGATATGCAAAATGGATATATATTCAAGCCATGCAGTAACCTAAATTTGGTTGTTTTGCCATGGCACTGTCATCAGGCTAAAAATGGCATCGCTTGCAACGTGTTGGCTTTTGCTCTGAAGAAAATATTATATAGATGTTTCGACTTAAACAAATAAATGATGTTTGTTATTTTAATTTCTTATGAATAGATCTGCATGTTCGTTACTATATATTGTAAAACATATCGTATTCGCCTCATAGTGTATTCGCTGCAGCCCTGGAATGCAGATGTGCAGATATGGTTGAAAATACTTTTTAAATTATCATTTAATTATTTTGAAATGTTCCAAATCTCACAGAACTGGCAAGTCAAGTTGGGAGAAGCGCTACGTTACACTAGACGGCACATGGCTGATGGTGTACAACCAGCAGAATGATGGCAACCCTGTCGACACCCTGGAGTTGAACCCTGGGGATGCTGAAGTTAGCGTTCACAGTGCCGTCACAGCAGCAGAACTGTCCAACACCGCTTCAAGTGACCTCGCTTACGTTCTCCGGGTAGATCAAGATCCCATCACCACCTGCTGGCCGGGAAGGTGAGAAGGGAGATAACTTAAACAATCTGCTCCTTGGCCAATGTAGAATTAATATCAAAATCTGGTAATATGATACACCCAGTCTTATCACCCACACTGCATGTCTTGACCATGTTGAACATCAGTGCTTGTCGCCCTCCATTAAACCAGGGGGTAATATTCATGCAGTTGTTCAGTACAGCAGTTGGGTTTGCTCAAACAAAGTGCGGAACAGACATTTTTAGTCACTGCTTCAAAGATAAGATCCATCCTAGTATCCCCCTGACTGCTACGTGGTTGTTTCTTCATCGGGCAGAGTGATGTACCTGATGGCGCTGACGTTTGCGGAGAAGCAGAAGTGGGTGGCATCGCTGGAAGCAGCTGTCAAGTGTGCCACAAAGGGCGAGGCTTTCAGGAAGAGTGTAAGGCATTTAAAACTCAACCATATTGAGAACTTCACCAGGGATATAAATTAATTTACATCATTGATACTTGGTCACGTATGAGGTATGCTCCAATCATATATTCCAGTCATGTTCTCTGACCTGGGAAAACATCATATGAAATAACTGTCAGATCATGTTGATGAAAACAACAGCACAACACAACTGTACCATGATGATGATGATCTTTTGTGCAGAGAATCCAGATGAACACAGTTTTGACGTTTACTGAAAGGAAGGAGGTCAACAGCACCCTCGTTCTCTCAAAGCAGGTTTGTCTGTTTTCCAATCGTCTTTTTCTAATTTCAGCACAAGAAGTGTTACATTCTCTATTAATGAATATGGTCGAACACGAAAAACACCTGTTCAATTCTCCATATACACTGTATTGTTGCTACGCCAGCTGGTCCTGCTTATGGCCGAGGAGGACTGTTTGCCATGAACCCCCAGAGTCCAGTGACCAGTGACAAGGTCCTCGCTCCCCTGACTGGCATCTCCAACATCCACCAGATGACCCTCGCCGCCGGGCTCGGCATGATCATCATGATTGTAGGTCAGTACATCCGATGACTGTGCACAATGTGGGACAATGATTGTGTTGTATTGATTGGTATCCACTTGCGTAAAGTGATTGTTGTGCTACATCAATGTAACTTGCATACTGTAACTTAACTTACAACAGGCATAGTTCCTTAGAGCTATAAGTCTTAAATAAGAGCAAAAAAAAGTTGAATTCCTGTTGATATCAGATGTAAATCCTGCTGTTTATGTGTTTGTTACTTATTATATGATAAAAGTTCGAAATTTAGAATGAAAGTCAAGAGGTCCTGGTGATGACCACACTATTAAAAAATATGATTCAGTTTGATCTCTGGATTCAAGAACTACATTGCCCAAAGATCCTCCTCAATAATGAAATATTAAATCATATTGTAAATTTAATTTAATTTGATCTTGATTTAAAAATTTATTTGTATTTTAAAAAAAATTTTTTATCAGACATGTGAAATTGTTATGAAATTTTTGTAATGTAAAATATTTCTGAGTTTGGTACTACATCCTGTTTTACATATGGTGTCTCAATCTGTGGTTGCCAGGCACTGATCGTCGACTGCTGATGGTGGAGAAGAAGTTGATCATGCTGCGACTGACTCAGTGTAACGGTGGTGAGACGGTCCCCCTCCCCTACAAGCAGATCGATGGGGTGCAGGGTTGTACGGTGTTTGATGTGGGCATGTGGCAGGACAGCACCTATCATCCTTGTGGGGATGACAGACAGGGTGCTATATACTGATGAAGTACAACCCCAGTCTCGCCATGTTCTGTACCAGAAAGGTGAGGATGATGTTGCTGAATTTAACCATGCAAGCTATAGCACATGTTTACATATCCGATCCGTCAAAGTTGGTCAGAAGTTGGTCAGTTTTAATGATACTATATGTATATGTAAGTAGTGACGTAAGATGTCATCACTTATTTCAGAGGGAAATATAATATTGGAAACAGAATAATTAACATGATTAAAATGCAGAGTATTTTATTAGTATTGAATATTTCTAATTTTGCTAATGCAGGGCATTGCCGTGGGTCCTACTCTTTTGATAATGTAACAGTTTTCTAAAATAAGGAAAATACTTATGTGCTGTGGATATTCTTGTTGTAGGAGTTTGACTCATATGAGCCATGCAGCTGTGTGTGTATAGTTGAGAGTTACGCCCTGGTCGGTACAGAGAGAAGTTCTTTATTAGAATCAGTCTGACCAATCTCGGTCCATGATAGGTAGGTAGATGTGCTGGAGAACTGGTGCATGATTGGTATTTTTGATGTACAGGACCATTCCACCCATGATAGATGTGTACATATACTGGACCACCCACCCATGATAGATGTGTACATGC